GGGCCCCCGGATCCCCCGGCCCGAGGGGGACGGGGCAGCCCTGGGCACCCAGCGCCCGGCCACCCCCTCCTCAGCGGCCCGCCGCCGCGCGGCACCACGGGAAAGTGAGTCCGCCCGCCCCCTCCTGCGAGACTCCTATTCTCACGAACGTGTCTGAGGAGGCCCGGTCGGGACTCCAACTCCCAGAGTGCTGCACGCAGGGCGGGCCTACGAGCTGCGACGTGGGACAAACCTATTTCGAACGTCTTGCTGTTTCCCCGCCATTCTATTGGTCCGCAGCCGCCGAGCGCGTGAACGAGCTCCCCGTCTGATTGGTCCGCTGCCGCGGGGCGGGGAATATAAACCGGGACCCCCAGACCTGCTGCCTCTCGGCCAGGGGGACCCGGGGGCTGCCGCTGGGCCGCGCAGCGAAGGCGGTAAGTGGGGCGGACGGGGGAGGGGCCCGGGCCGGGGGTGCCGCGGGCCAGCTGGGGCTAGAACGCCGGAGCCGCCCAGAGGCTGCGGGGAGGGGGGGCTCGGGAGAAGGATGGGGGGGGGCTCGAGCAGGGGGGCTGGGCAGGGGCGGGGGGGCTGGTGCCGGAGCGGGGATTGGGGGCTGGCTCTCGGGCAGGGGGGTTGGGCAGGGGCGGGGGGCTGGTGCCGGAGCGGGGATTGGGGGCTGGCTCTCGGGCAGGGGGGTTGGGCAGGTGCGGCGTGGGGGGCAGAGGGGCTGGCTCTCGGGCAGGGGGGAGCTGGGCTGGTGCCATATGAGGGGAAGGGGGGGCTTCCTCTAGTGCCTGCTGGGAGGTGGCCGCTGCAAAGGGGAAAGGCCCCTTTGGAGGCTTGTGAAAAGCTGTCTGTGAGGGGGGAGCGCTTTGCACCTGCTCCAGAGGCTGCCCCCAGCCAGGTCTACTCCTGCTTTGCACCCGAGACACCCTCACTCACCTGTCTTCTCTGCAGGAGGGGTCAGTGACCTGAATGTTTGCTTCCTTTCCTCTTGCCTGAAAGCTTATGCTCTAATAAATTTGTTAGTCTCTAAGGTGCCACAAGTACTCCTGTTCTTCTTTTTGCGGATACAGACTAACACGGCTGCTACTCTGAAACCTGGAGGGGATTGGCTCTCCTGGGAGATCTCCATGGGAAATGTATCTGACTTACTGTGTGACCTTCCAGACAAACTTTACTTTCCTGTCAATTTCTCACTTTGTTCCAAAAAGCAAAAACAAGGAATAAATAGTTTTGAAGGGTCTTAAGTTTTCCCATAAAAGCTTCCACTTAAACACAAGTGTTGGATTTTTCTGTTGGGGAGAGGGGGTGGAAGAGAAGCTTGTAGCAAAACTTCCAACCTGGGACAGTGGTGGTTCTCCCATTGCTTATGAGGTTCTGAGTTGGAGGTTTTGGTGCTTGATTTAAAATCCCTCCCAGCTGCTTGGCCAACCTCCCTGAGAACACTGTCCCCCTGGATCTCCAGCAAGGGTCAGGGAAGCCATGTTCTGAGACATCAAACTCTAGAGCAGATATTCTCTGACTGCAGCTTGCAAGTAGCTCTTTAATTTGTCTCCTGCAGCTCTTTGCAGCACCTATTACAACAGTGATTTAATCACTCAGGATGCTTTTCTTATATTAATTTGCACAAAGCCATTGATGTTGCTGTGAACATATAAAACTAAAGCTTTCCCATGTCATAATGTTTAAATATAAATCTGTAGTAAATGAAACAATTAATTCACACCACTGGGGCATGTTTGGGATAATGATTGCTAATTTGGCTTCTGAACCACTCAGGTCTGAGTATTGCTGCTCTAGAGTTAAACTTTTGAGGCTATGGGTATACCCTACAAGTGAAGGATGTAGGATTCTCCACAGGTAACCTTTACATGCTGGTTCCCCTCAGCCTCTAGGAGAGAACTGTGCCATGGGCTGTTGAGATGCCAGGGATGGGGTGGGGGAGACTTGCCAGAGCAGTGTAGCTGGAGAGACTTGGCTGGTGGCTCCAGTAAATGGACCTTCCCAAAGTCAGACTGGATTACACCTAATTAAACATGAGGCTGCAGGAGTTGGAAGCCTCAGGGCTGAACTGATTTCTGTGATCAAACAGAGGTAGATCTACTGCAGCTCTTTAAACAGCTGCAAGGCTCTCTAACAAAGTGATCTCCTAGGATAACAAGAGCTGTTCTCCCTCTCCCACCTGCTCTGGTGTTTGTGATATAGCTACAATTAAATATCTGCTCTTCACAGCAGACACTTTATGGTTTATCCCCCACCATTGTAGCAACAAACACCCTGTTTGGGTGCAGTATAAATGACTATCCCTTTTGGATTTCTGGGGGAGAGTTCAGTATTTTTCTTGTAAGTGGCTAAGCCTGTACTGTTCTTTCCTTTCTGCTTGCACAAAGCCACCAGCATCTAAGGAAACTACACTGCTAGCCTCTAAACTCAAAGGGCTGCCTGCACCATGCTTATTAACACAGCTGTCTAGTAGGATTCAGGGGGGCAAGCTGCAAGAGGCCTGTACCTCAGTAATCCAAAACTATGATGGCTTAGAGCTAAGGCCCATGTGAACTGCCAGCAGTGGCCTGGTCCTCTGCAGAACAGGCCCTGCACCCTTGTGGTAAAGATAGAAATATAGGTAACATTCACCCTTTTTCAGACTGACCTCTCTGGGAGGTGAAGCAACACAGCTGTAGAGGAAAAGTTTGCATTTTAACCTGCTGCTGTCCTCAGCTGCTCCCACACAATAGGAGCTAATCCATTAACCAGTGTGAAATAAGGTGATGACCCTTCCCAGTTAATTTGTTCCTTTTGTCTTCTCCTTCCATAACTACATTGGAGGTGTTGCTTGTAGTAACGATTAGCCCTTCTAAGCCTGTGATTCTATACCTGGATGCAAAAATGGGTTTGTAAACTGCCTTTCAAAAGTAGTGAGGCCTACCATGTCTTTAACCTGCATTTTATCTGCTCCCCTACACTTCTATCAGTAGAGCAATAATACACAGCTGGTGGGAGTATATTATTCAGGTGGAGTGGGAGCTGAATGGGGGATTAGCTAAAGAGAGCCAGCTGACCACTGGCTAGACTCTGCACAGATTGTAGCTGTATCACAGACTGGCAATTCTTTTCCTATAGACTTCAGTACAATTAAATACTAAAAACAGCTCAAAGTAAACCTGGGATCAGTGAGTGGTAGATGGGGTTCTTTTTGACTGATTGCATAATATTTGATCTAATCACAACAAGGAACATGTGACTGAGATAATACCCTTCGCAATCATTTTATGAAATAGCAGGAAAGGAAACAGATTAACCCACTTTCCATGCTCTGTTATGTGACTGCAGGGAACTCTCCTGAGAACAGCTGTCAGTTTCCCTCCTCTGCATTTCTGCTTTGCAATGGATGCAGGAGAGGCACAGAGTTAATCTGGACAGCTGCCTGTGACCCTGCTGCGTTTACCAGACTGAGTGTGCAGAGAGGCCAAGTATCTCAGACTGGACAAGCAGTAGCAGGCAAGCCCAGCTGCTTTGCTTTCCCACACTGCTTGGAGGGGGAAGTCACCAGTGTTAATGCTGCAGTCAGCCGTCTTTCTCACATGCTTTGGGCGTGTAAGATTTTCAGCAGGTATCTTTGTCTCCCCTGAACTTTCATTAAATAACTGGTAGGAGATAATCTCCCAACCCTGTATTGTAGCAGCAGGATCACCCCCAGCTGAAGAACAGTCTACAGCCCTACCTGCAAAGCAATAGACAAAGTTGGGCAGCTCATGGCCTTCCCTGTTGGCTTTATACATTTGGCCTGAACAGCCAGATTGTTAATAAACAAGATGAAAAATATAACCTCATTCCCATGGATAATATAAGATCAAGGAGCTGCAGAGGCTGGTGGCAGATGGAAGGGGCAATACAGATGAATTTGCTCCTTTTTAATTCACTGAGGGGGAAAATCCTGTTGCTATTAATAGATGGAGGGAAAGGCTAGAAGATGCTTCCCATGGATCTTTGAGTTTGGGAGTTGAGGTTGTGCACAGAGTTGATCACAAGCAAATTCACAATGCTAGTGAAAGGTGTCAGATTGTAGTGCGGGAGCCTAACAGGTTCTGGTTATTCCTAGAATGCTGCACCATGCACAGCAGCTACAGAAGCACTTCTCCTCCCCCCCCCACAAAGACCTTCAGGTGTGCCCCGTCCGTGCCCCAGCCTGTTCACCCCTAAGCATGGGAGTGAGGGATCACCAGCCCCATCCTCCAAGCTCTTTACACACCTAATTCCTGTTAATTTCAGTGGGAGTTAGATGCCTAATATTTTCGAGCACCTGGGCTCAGATCTGAAACAATATCCAACTGGTAAAAGGCTCCCGTTCCCATTCTCAGCCCCCTGCACAGGCAGTGGCCCTGTAGACTGGGCAGGAACCCGCCCGCATATGCAAACACATACATGCCCAGTGCCTATACTCACCCACAAAATGCTGCTCTCTATGGGTTTGAGAGATTTTAATCACCCGCTGAATTTTTTTGTTTTTCCATGACCTTATTACAAAAGATTTAGCAAAAATAATTCCACTTAGCTGCAGCTCGACTTGGAGACGCAGGATGTGTTGAGAGGGTGGGGACAGCGGTCAGAGGACACAGGGAAGGAGTGGGGAGGGATACACCGTACAGAGCGAGAGTTCCATATGGCACTGTCAGTAGGAGACACTTCCACGTGAGTGCCCGAGCTGTGTCTGGGGGAAGCACCAGCTCTGGGTACCTACAGTCCATGAAGGACATGGCATGGTGGCAGGAGAATGTATGAAACCAAAAGGGCTGCACAAACCCTAAAGTGCCTGATGTGGACATAATGGGAACCAGAGACTGTGGAGAGGGGTTCCCTGTCCCCCTCCAAGCGGCACTCCCTGGGGTGTCTGAAGGTGGGATTGTTAATTCTTGTGTCATGTGACCCACACCCACCCAGGGGGGCTCTCTGTCACTCTCTGCTACAGCCCTTGAGCTAGCAGAGCTGGTCATTTAGCACAGGCCGTAAGATCTACAGGTCTCAAGTTGATCTCTGCTGCTTATGGCCTACCCCAGGGTAGTACCTTATACGCACAGGGAAGGTGACATTTCCTCCACATAACAGTCAATGGCTGATGAGCCTCCTGGCTGTGTGGCCCAAGCCCTTGTTCCACATTTCCCTGGTCCCTTACCCCAGCCTGGAGTAGGGAGCTACAGGGGTCTTTAACCCCACCACCTCCTCCATAGGAAGGTAGCATCAACTGCCCGAATTGGAGAAAGAGAGAGCACAATGGCTCCACCACAGAGCTCACTGGTGAAGACCTCAATGCACGCTCAGGTTGGCCGGAGAGCAGCAGTGCATCTTTCCCTTTGCCTCTCCCCCCGCTTGCACCAGGGACATCTCCGGATGCAAAGCAGCAGCACTTGTACTTGGGGCAGACAAGTGGCTGCACTGGGGTGTCTCCTGTCACTCTGTGTTGGGGAGGAGCTCAGACACCGATCTGGCTCTGGAACTCGGCACTCATTTCCTCCTCTGTGATGTTGGGGATGCCCAGCCTGGCCAGGGTTTCCTCACTGGGACCCTCATCCTGCAGGACATCGTTCAGCTCGGCTGAGAAGCAGGGATGCACCAGGTGGTCCCAGTATAAGCTCAGGGTGGACTGGTCCTGACGTTCCATCTCCTTCAGTTCGTACATCTCCTTGGCGCTGGCTGCTGGGGTCTGCACCTCAAATGTCTTCTCAAACCTGCTGTAGTCTACTCGAAAGGCTCCTTTCTCCAGGGTCATGCAGGGCTCGAACCGATATCCCCAAAGGATCTCGTCCTCTATGTAAGAGGTCCGGGCTTGACATGTCATTCCTACAGTGAGAGAGAAGCACATGCAGTCAGGACCATTAATTGGGCAGGTTGTATTGCAAAAGGGGATACAGAATGGATTCATGGGCAGAAGATAACTGCTGACTAATGGGGTCAGGAGGTAACTTTGCCTGGGGACAGGTCAACCCATAGCTGCAGGGTTTCTTGCACCTTCCTCTGAGTCAGCTGGTACTGGTGAGTGTTAGACTCAGGATACGGGACTAGGTTAAACCCTGGATCTGAACAACCTGGCAATTCCCATGTGCCTGGTCAGCCGCTGAAGGGTAAGTCTCCTGTGCTGAATGGGTATTTGCACAGTTACTGAGGCACGTGAAATGGATATTTAGGTTCAGACAAGCACAGTTGTGGGAGCCAGATAAATACCTGTATTAGAAAGGAGCAGACAGTGCTAATCTGTGCACCAAAACCAGGACATTTTACCTAGACTGGACAATATACTGATAAATATACAATAAGAACCCAGTCCTGTGCTGGTTCCCAGGGCTATGGACTAGATGAAACCAAATCTGTCTGCTGTATCTGTGATTCTAGGACAGCAGGGCTCTCTTCTCAGCTCAAAGTTTGACCTATCCTAGGATTGCTGTCTGACTCACGTAGACTGACGGTAGCTATTTAGTTTTCCATATACATGTTTGTCTCCCCAATGTTTCACCATGAAACGAGGCTAGAAAGAACTCTATCTGGAGGCTAGACTGTAGGGAACAATTGTGCACTGGTCCCTGGTAGCGACTAGATCAGTTACACACTGGGAGGGGCTTTGGGGAATGCCTGATCAATACTGTGTCTCCAGATTGCAAGGGGTGATTTCCTTGCCCCTGATAGAGGTAGCAAGGAACTAGGTCTGCAAATGGTTCTATTGTCCCTGCTAGAGAAGATTCATCCCAGGGCCTCAAAATAATACTTGTGAAGCACCAATATTTTTGCCTTTGGAATGGGCCAAACTGCTTTATAAGGCAGCAGGTTTTCCCAAACTTGCCCTCTGGGGGAGGAGACACCCAGGTCCCTCTACCGCCCCATCCCCATCTTGCACAAGTTTGAACACTGGATGGGAACTGGCAGCTCATGTTTTTAAATCACCATTTTTCTGACTCTAGGAAAGCCAAAGCCCAAGAGCTAAAGACCAGCAGAGGGAGCCCAAATCCGCTGACAATCTATTCGGGAGCAATGAAGGATAGTACAGTGAGGGCGGCAGAGTGAGATTGAGAAAGGGTGTGTGCTCCATGAGAAGTGTGTGCATGTGAGAGAGAGAGAGAGGTGGAGAACTGATAAAGAACAAAAAGCAAGGGTTTTTAAAAGGGATGGGGGGAGGGGAAATGAAGCTTAACCCATCAAAATGAAAATTTCATATCAAGCAGCTGGGTACCATGGCATTAAATCATCCATCCACAAACCTGTAATTAACACAATTCCAATGTCACCAATCCCAAATCAGCCCCTTCTTCTCCCCTCGCCCCCCCCAGAAAAGAAAAAAAGAACATGAGATGGGCTTAAAAATAAAGAGATTTTTAAAAATAACCAATTTCTGGATTGTTCAAGTTGTCTTCTGGGTATGGAATCTCTAGGGTGCACAATTTCAAGCTTTTCTCCACAACCATGAGGGCTAAAAAGTGGGTGTTTATACAAACAGAAGCTGAGATTCTCATGTCATCTCATGATTCCAATCTGGGGCTTTAAGAATTGTCTTCCCACCCCTTCCCAAAAAAATCATGAGAGTTGGCAACAACTGTAACAGTTCTTTCCAGTGAAGAGAGACAGGTGGGGAAGTTGGTGGTCTTCATTGAATGGTACTAGTCTCTTCGACATGCATGTTAAGTGTTTGGGGGATATTTTCTCCCTCCAGTAGCTTCCTACCATTTTTAAGTGAATGTCATGCTAGTGAAAAGGGCCAGAGTGACCCCTCTGGGTCCTTGGGGAATCCACAGCAGGCTTCCTCCACGTCAGCTCAACACTGGGCTACAGTCCCGAGCTGGAGGGACCTCGTTAAATGGGGAGAAGGGAGTTTAGTCTCCATGGTCCACAGCATTTTTGCTGAGACTGCCAGCAAGGAGGTCAATCAGTACCAGCTGCAATGATGGTTTCTGAAATGTAGCTCTCTCTCTCTCTCTCCACTGATAAAGGGACTGTGCCACCCCTGGGTCACCTCATGGCCTCCCAGTAACCAACCATTCGATGGCAATGACCTTTGGTCACTCACTTGTGCCCAATTCATTGACCTCCAGGGGAAAGGTTCAGTCCTGGTCCCCTGAGCCATCTGGCTGATGAGCATGTTCTGACTCATTCTTTGTCTGCCAATGTAGCATCCTGAAAAGACGCCGCGGGTTGACTGGGCCATGGATTGTGAACTCCCTTCACACCCCTAACAGTCAGGGCTGAGGGATGTTACACCAGCAGCCAATACAGTAAGTGGGGCTCAGAGCAGGGTTACCTGACAGGCTGCTGAAAATGGCTGCAGTGTACAGGTGGTAGCCCAGAGGCAATTTTCTTGCTAACACTGTGTAGGATTTAGAGCTGCGTGACATATTTTGACCGAAATATTTTTTCCAGTGGGAAAAAAAAAGGTTGATTTGGTGAAACAAATGTTTTGTAGATTCGTGTCCGTTTCGCTAAATTGTTCATTCTGAAAATAACCCCCCAAAAACATTCAGGAAAAAAAAAATCAATGTTTGGTTTTGACATTTTCAAAATGAAACATCTCCCAGCTTTTCAATTAAAAGGAAATGTCAAAACAAAAAGTTGCTTTGAATTTTTTTTTGTTTAAAAAAAATTAAAACATTTAAACATGCTCAGAATCAAACAGACATTTACTGGTGGGTCAAATGTTTGACCCGAAATGATTTTTAATTCTTTGAATCATTGAACGTTTTTTAAAGGTTAATTTTTGGGCTGACCTGAAATGATTTGTTTCACCTTTTCAAAACTGTCAGTGAACCAAAATATCTGGTTTTGCCCAGCTCCACCTAGAAGGCGAATGGTTATTTCCTGCAGTACCACCTGCACCATCTCTTTTCAGGATAGCCTGCATCCCAACTACTCTTTTCCCACTCTCCCGGGATGGTGCCAAGGCTCAGTGTAACGTGTGGGATCCAAGTCCGCCCACCTGCCCTGTGTGAGCAGGAGAAGCCGTTGATGCCAACGGCTGCCTGGGTGGTTGGTTTTGCATGTCTTTCAAACACACAAAATCCATGAGTCAGCTCAGTATGTTAAGCAACTGTTTAGGGGAACGCAGGGATGGAGATAACCAAGCCAAGTTCGTGTCATGCCGCATCCCACCTCACTGCAGCAGGGGGACAGACCAGCTAGGCTGGTACCCCACACCCTCCACCTCAGTACAACAGACCAAGAGAGCAACGAGTGTGGGATCTAATCTGTGGGACTAGGTCAGGTGACTGGGCCATTTAGTCTGATATGGCACCTCCTGTTGGAGCAGATCACACTGCCGGGCCCTCTAGCCCCCTGCCCCGCCAGCTGTCTCTCTGAGCAAGACACCAATGTCCTGCTGCCCCAGATCACAGCAACGGGTTAATAATACTCATCACCTCCCAGCTCTCCATCTTCAACACACTTGCAGACCCTACTGACATCTCCCCCCCAACCCAGTCTGTGAGGCAGGGAAGTCTCATTGTCCTGAGCAGGGAGCTGAGGAGGAGAGATTCAGAGACTTGCCTGAGGACACGGAGGGAGGGAGTATTAGAACGGAGTGTCCTGCCAGTGCTGCACCCTGACTCCTGTGGCGGCCATTACCTGATAGTTTGGGAAAGGAAGGAAACCCAATCACAGCGCCCCTGGGTCTAGTAATATGGAGCAGCCCCTAAGCGGGGTGAGGATAACACCTTCCCAAGCCCACCTGCGGTCTGCGTACCCTCCTCAGCACCCACCTGTGGCTTCCACGATGCCCTCCAGGATCACAATGATCTCAAACTGCTCCCTCTTCAGCGACTCTGCTGTCATTTCCCAGAAGGGGCTGTGGTCATTGATGACGTGGCAGATGATCTGTGGCTCCACCAAGAAGAGCCTGTCCTCCCCTGTGTCATAGCCCAGGTTCAGCTCCGACTGCTCCAAGGGGATGAACTCCCCTTCCTTGGTTTGTCTGGATTTGATCAGTTTGGCCCTTATTTTCGCATCCACCATGTGGCTGTCCCGGAGGTCGCCGATGCGGAACATCAGGCAGAGTTTCTCATCCCGGTGGGAGACAACGCACTTCTTGCTGAATATTAAGGTCTGGGCGCGCTTCTTGGGCCTGGAGATCTTGACGAACATGCATCCCACCATGAGGGCATCTATCATGGACCCAACGATGGACTGGGCCATCAGCAAAATGACGCCCTCAGTGCAATCGGCTGTCACAATCCGGGAGCCATAACCAATGGTCCTTTGACTTTCCACGGAGAAAAGTAAGGCAGATATGAAATTGTCCACATTCTCGATGCAAGGCTTCCACTCCGGGTCTCCTATGTGGTTGACGTCATCCCTAATCCAGGCATCGAAGAAGTAGATGATGCCAAAGACCACCCAGGTGACGATGTAGCACATCATGAAGACAAAAAGGAACCAGCGGTACTTGAGGTCCACAATGGTGGTGAAAATGTCCGACAGGAACCTCTTCTTTTCCTGGATGCGGCCCAGATTCACCTGGCACTTGCCCATTTTGGTCACATAGCGCTGCCGCTGCTGCTTGTTGGCGGAGCTGAACTGCCGATCGTCGTCCATGAGCTTGCAGCGCCGGTTCTGAGGTTTCTCTGAGGGGGTCATGGAGACAATGCTCCGGGTGGGCGTTTTTTTCCGTGCTGAGTTGGGGATGTTGGGCACACTGAGAGCATGCCGTGGGTACCACCGGGTGTTGATGTCCCGGAGTGGAGGCAGGGGATCATTGCGCGATGCCCGGCGGTACTTGGGCAAATCTTCAGTGTTGATGGAGACGCTGGGCCGGTGCTTCATGGGTACCACCGCACCTGTGCTGGTCTGCTCCACCATACTGAGTCTCCTCTGAAGGACTGATCTGTCATTGGGGATGTTTGAGCCACAGGAGTGGGGCACAAAGTTTGACATCGGGGCATTTTTCTTTTCAGCCGCAGGGTCTGTTTGCTGTTGGCTCTCTGCTGATAGGCCCATGGGGATGACCATCATTTCAGGCTGCAAGGGGAAAAGAACCAATCAAGAGAAATGCACCTGTTTTCCCTCCCATCCTTAGTCTGTCTGGTCTATTTAAATCTTAAGCTCTTCATGTGTATGGTACAGCACAATGGGGCCCCAATCACAGCTGGGCCACTAGGTGGTACTTTAAACACACACAATTATTAATACACGTCTATCCCGATCTAACGCAACCTGATATAACACAGTAAAGCAGCGCTCCAGGGGGACAGGGCTGCGCACTACGGCGGATCAAAGCAAGTTTGATATAACGCGGCTTCACCTATAACGCGGTAAGATTTTTTGGCTCCCGAGGACAGCGTTATATCGGGGTAGAGGTGTACTGATAGCAGACTGAGTCCCCAGCCCTCACCATGAGAGAGTTAAATAAAAGCCTCATCTCTGTGATAAAGCCTTTCCCACCCCAGTAGCAGCACCTGTGCAGGAACAACCAATGACTGAGGAGACTAGAGGGATGGGAAGTAGGAAGCAAGAGGTAAAGAAGGAAGGAGGGAAAACTTCAAAAAACAACACTTAGATACCTCTTAGCTGATCTATACATGTCCAGGATAGCATTAATGGGTATTATACATATGGTATCAATACCATATACATTAGATAGATACGTTAGACAGATTTAAGAGTTGAGAAGTTACGTTAGCTGAATCTATTATTCTCTCTCTACAGTTCTGTTCACTCATGATGTCAGGTATCCCACAGCACTTTGCAAAGCTGAAGTCAGTTTTGGCATTAGAAAATAGGAAGCCTGTCAAGGCCAAGACACATGAATAGTATGTCCTAGCACAGGTTGGGAGTACCTCTGCACCCAATTGGTTTCCAAGGATCATATGAACTGGAACCATAAACTCCCTGAACATTAAATCTCACCAAATGAGGGTCAATCCATCCTCATCATCATATCCACTCATTATAATCCACACCCGAACATAGCCACTTTATGAACTTCATACCCTCATATCTCAATGTCTGTACTTTTACCCCCAATCGGGGATATTGCAGATTATGTATTCCTCATGCCACCTTATCTTAAACCAAACTCTGCACCCTCGATAATCTGTATGTTATTCCATGATAACCAGAAACATCTATGCTCAAACTCTCTTCACTATTTTTTTTAACATCTTAATAAAATTTTTAAATCTGTTCCAAAGCAGAGATAAGAAAAGTGCAGAACAAAAGAACAAGTTAAGGAAGTGTTGCCACCTGGTGGGTTGGATTTTAGTGATGGGTAGAAAATGGTGTAACTTGAAAAAGCATACTGTAGATACTATTAGCTGAAATACCTATCTTTGAAGTACATCCTTTGCAAGATAAGAATTACTTTCTGGAAGGAGGGTATGTATGTCTCCTTGTCACATTGTACTGCGTTGTCTCTAGCCAAGAAATTTGGCTATTTTGGTCCCTTGAACATTTTTAAGAATGAACTGCAAGTGTAGCCAAACAATTGGCTCCACCTTTTAGTCAATATACCATGGTCCTGGCTGCAGCCGATATTATTTGTATAGCGCCTTTCAGCCAAAGGGCTTTGCAAACACATGTACCTATCTAGCATTGCTGAAATGCAGCCCCCGTTTGGGAGCAACATGGCGGCTGTTTTCCAGCTGCCCAGCAGCACGGGACAGGAAGTACAGAAGAAGAATCCTGGATCTATTTGACACTGGGCTGGAGGTTGGGGGTAAAACGAGCGAGGCAGAATGAAATCACCCATGATTGGAGCTAACACACCCCTCAGGTGTGTCAAGAACCTCTCAGCTAAAGGAGCTGGGGAGAACATTGTCCCCAGCTGGGCTGGGCTGTCCCATTGTCTACCTTCCTAGCTATGTGGGTACAAGAGTGATCAGGACTCAGCAGGATTGTTGTGGGAGATGGGGTGGGGCAGGATTTCTTCGTTGCTTGCATCAGGCTGGGCTGCATGTCAAACGGAGGTGCCCAGCCTCGCCATGTCCTTTAATGATGGGAGCAGCCTTACCTTCTGAGGGAAGGCGCCATATCTGCTGGTGTCCGTCGGGGGCCGGGGCAGGTAGGCAAGCATGTGCTTGGCGGTGGGAGTCTGCACGGGGGGGATGGAGTTCCTCCTGCTCCGAGGCTCCTCGTACTTCAGCCGGCAGCCGCCGATGTTGTTGCGGACACAGAGCCCGTTGTCCTGCTGCAGCTCCATGCTGCTGCTGGCGATGGGCAGCACCATGGCTGATCGGGGGCCGGGGCGCTACCCCAGGGCTTTGCACCTTCTCCGGTGGGGAGTCCTGCTGGGTGAGAACATAAAGAGGGGGGTGATTTTAATGAGTGAGTGGGCAAGTTCAGTACCAAAAGCCAGCTCACTGTCAATGGGGCTGGGGTCCTCATTCCAGACAGTAGTACATGTACCCCGTTCAGATTCAGGGTAGAGGGGAGCCAGCCTGGCTTGGCAGAGCCCAGGTGCTCACCTCTGAGCATGGCTTAGTGCTGCAGACACACCCCTGTCCCGCTGACCGGAGCTGGGTGCACTGGGGGGATATAACAAAGGCTGTCCTCGGTCCCTTGAGGCAGCCTGCTCTCAGACAGACTCCAGAGAAGCCCCTGAACTTGCAGAGGCTGAATAGAGTCTGAACCCAGCATTCCTGAGCTGGGGGGAAGTTCAGCTGACCTGTCTGTCTCTAGCTAGCTGCTTCTGTTGCCCTTGTCACTGCAATATCTAAGTGCCCCACAGATATCAATGGGTTTATCCTTGCATCCCCCCTGCAAGAGCGGGAAGGATCATTGTCCCCATTTTGCAGATACGGAACTGAGGCCCAGAGAGAATAAGTGACTTGCCCAAGGTCACACACGGCGTGTGTGGCAGAGCTGGGACATAAATCCATGTCTTCTGTGTCCCAGTCACTTGTTCCAATTGCTATACCACAGTCTCTTGATCTGGAAATTGCTGAATATCTCCTGATAATCACTACAAGAGACAGAAGCATGGATGCCCTGAGATCCCTTAGAGGGGCCTGATTTTCAGATGGTAGGCAGCCTTCACCCCTTTCTGAAAAACAGACACAGAGAGGCTAAGTGACTTGCCCAAGGTCACACAAGAAGGCTGTGGCAGGACAAGGATGGGAATCCAGGTCTCCAGGCAAATGCCCTAACCCCTTCCTCTCTAAGGGAAACAGTTATAGCCAATTTCAGGGCTTGTCTAGCCTAGGGAAATTTGCACCAATGTAACTATAATGCTGTAGCTATACCAGTGCAAAACCCTAACGGAGACACTTCACACGGAGCTTCGGCACATCCACACGGGAGGCTGGCACTGATTTAACTACAGCAGGGCAGCCCCCTCCCAAGATAGACAAGGGGAGCAGCTCCTCAGTGACTGAGGAGCCCAAGTCCCAGGAGCCTAGAAGCCTACGTCCAGTGACTTTCAGACAGACTCCTGGTACATCTACCCTCCCAGTGGCACAGCTGCAGCTCCATCCCTGGGGTGTAGAGACGTACGACAGCCACGGGAGGGGTTTTCCCTTCACTGTAGTGAATCCACCCCCTTGAGAGGCGGCAGTGAGGTGGACAGAAGAATTCTGCCATCGACCGAGCTGAGTCTGATTGGTCGATCTCACTACGCCGCACAGGGCACGTGACATTTTTCCCAGCCCTGAGCGACGTAGCGAGGACGAGCCAAGTTTTAGGTGTAGACCAGGCCTTGGGCTTCTAGGGGACATCTACGCTGCAAAAAACAAAACAACAAAATGCGACAGCACGTCTCAGAGCCCAGTTCAACTGACTTGGGCCCAGGCTCCAGGGCTAAAAGTAGCCGTGTTGGCGTTCCCGCTTGGGCTGGACCCCAGGCTCTGAAAGCCAGCAAGGGCAGGAGGACTCCGAGCCTGAGCTCCAGCCCAAGTGGCAACGTCTACACGGCTATGTTTAGCCCCCTACCGCGAGCCTTGCAAGTCTGAGCCAGTTGACCTGGGCTCTGAAACTTGTTGCTGTGGGTCGTTTTTTTGCAGTGTCGACACAGGTGCCCAACTCACTTTTGAAAATGGGATTTAAGTGCCTCAGTCCCTTAGATCCTTTTGCAAATGTTACCCTGGGCCTTACCCCAGCACCAATGTTTGGGTCCAGTCTCTATGACTGGGGAGCCCTGACACGTCCCCCTCACCTTCCTCTGCACATGTGCTAAGGCTGCAGAGCTAAAAGCACCCCAAAAGGCCTCAATGAAATTCACCAGTAGTTCGCCCCTCATGCTGCCACCCAGTATTAATAACACAGAGCATCTGTCCTGAACTCTGAGGGAGTAAGCCAAGTCCCAGATGAACTGCGGACTTTTCATTAGCACACAAGCAGCACCTTGCGCAAGATCCAGACACAATCTGGCTTGGGGGAGGACACAACGTGGGGGTTGGAGGTGGATTAACAAAGCAAGACATAAATCCCCAGCAAATCAGTCCCCTGAGCTTGTCATTCTGCATGATTGCTTCGGCGGAGGGAAAAAAAGGGACAGGCCATTCACTAATGACAGCCCCGCTATTTGCCCAAAGCCATAGGTTAAAAAAAAGAAGGGTTTCATTGATAGATCTCTAAATCCTTTGCCAGCGTTAGTGACGTCAATGGAGCCACAGCGCTTTGTCTTGAGATCACGTTTCACTCACTCCCAAAAGTTGTATTTATTTTAACAGAGGTTTTCATAGAAAGGGAAGCTGGACGCAGCCCAAACTGCTACTTAGAAATACAAACAGCACCAAGGAGAGCAAGACAAATGTCACAGCGGGCAGGTCACAATGACTTTGGTTCTTGGTTCTGGGTGAGAACGGCAGGGTTTGCTTACATTTCCTCCCACCTGGAAGCCTGCCATCTACAGAAGCGTGTTTGTTAGAACCAGTTTGTTTTAAATCCAGATCTACCTAACATGGGCCGTAGCAGAGTGGTTCTCAACCTCCTCTATCCGTCTATGGTTCGCATACAGCACCAATTCCTGTGGTATCTGAGCACTTCACAACCTTTCCTGTGTGAGGCAAAGAGGTACTACACCCCTGCGAGGGAGAGAAATGCTTTTATCCCCATTTTAGCCATAGGAAACTGAGATACAGAAAGACTAAGTGACTCGCCCTATACAGTGGGGATCCCATCCATGATCAGGGCCTCGATTTGCTACCTTAGTACAAATCATCAAAGAATGACAGTTATTGCTATTAGCAATAAAAACACTTAGCACTTAACAGGAACACCACCATGGACCTAGCAGAGCTCTCTCCACACAGTGTTTCCAAACTGTCCTTGGAACATTGGCTAATTGCCAAGCGTATTGGTGTTTCAAGTCCCTCCCAATCCTCCCGGTTTCTGACATCCCCCCTCCCCTCCTCACTGCCAGGTCTGAAGGATTAGGGGTAGGGCTGTGCGGAGAACTCTACTGGCAGCCTCCAAGCTGTGCCAGGCAAACATTCACCAAGGGCCAGGGCCAACCCTGGAGCCGCAAATCCCCCATTGTTAGCTCTTCAGGGCTCCATCCCATCAGCAGCGCTGCCAGGGGAGCCTCAGTTCAAAGGCACCGAAGAACAGACATGAGAGTCTGGCCCCCAGGTGGCTCTGGGGATTTGGGTCTGGCTTTGAACCTTGTGTTGGGGATTCCCCCCAACCCCCGCCAGCAAAGTGTGTTAAGATAATGGATTTACGGCAGAGCTGGGGCACAGAGTTTGGGGTGAGAGGCTGGGGGGTTTCAGTGCAATACCAGATGGCTAAGCCAATTATGTGACATAACAGCATTGCACAAGCTATCAAAGCAGGAGGTAACTGCCTCCCTGGGTGCTTACTGTCCCGCTGAGGCAAGCTGGCCTTCCCCAGGAGCTGCTCTCGGGTCTGTGGGAGGTGGAGAGTGGGCAGAGTCTGGCAGTGGGTAGTTTGACCCAGACTTTGCTCTGCTTTGATTCTAGTCCGTAAACTAATTCACGTGATGTTAGTAGGTACATGCCTCAAAGCAGAGCTCCCCCACCTGTCAGTGATGTGCACTGACACGC